GGGTCGCATCAGGGGTGAAGAGAAGCCTGCAGGGCGCTGCCTTTCCAGAGCGGGTGGGGAGAGGGTAGGGTCGGGGCGGAAGAAAGGGGGCCTCCCAGCACTTGCTGGGCAGATTTCGCCACAATCAAGACGACCTTGTGCGTCAAGCTCGGTTTCCTGAATACTTGGTTTGAGACACCAAGACACTTTGTGCGGGCTTGGGGCAAGGATCTCGGCAATGGGGCTTCGGAGCAAGGGGATGATCTTCCTTGCCTTGCATCTCGTCTCGTGGATGTCTCCGCGGCTACCAGCATACGAAAGGGGGAAGGGCTGGCGCGGTGAAGCTCGCACCTCTCCCGGACTAGGTTGACGCGGAAAACTCCCCCGACAGGATCCGAGGGGGACAACCAGGGGAGACGGAGAATTCCGTGCAGGGGTCCAGGACGAAGTGGGGCGTTGAGTTTACATAGCTAGTTCTCCGGGCCTCCTTGGCTCCCCGGAAGGGGACCGCCAAAAAATCCGAGCTCACACTAGCTCCCAGCGCTTGTCATCACAAATAACGAACTCCAGCATTGATTGCCAGGAGTCCTCGGCGGGGAAAGCTACTCTCTCCCGGTCCGGCTCCCCCGGCTCTGGAAACTGCGTTTGTAGCCCCCCCATTGAAGAACTAACGATGTTCAGGATTGGCTAACTTGTTCTCGCCATCTTTCCGCCTTTCTGAGAGCTCACTCGGAGGATCAGGACTTAGGGTACAAAAACCCCTTGGCAGGCACGTCATCCTGTCCTTTTAGCAGAGAGTTGACGCACCCTCTCCATGCAGGAAGGGCGATTTACTGGGAACTGGGGGACTGGCTCGCTGCGCAAACTTTTCCTCTTGCACTCTCTGGGAAAAGCACCCCCCTTCGCGGCCTCCCCACCCCCCACTACCCCATTCACCTGCCGCAGCAAGAGTTTGGGGAGGAGACCATTTGTCCTCTTTGGCCACTTGTGAGGTCGAAGTGTGGATGGGATGTAGCCTATGGCCCCACAGCAACACCTACCCTAAACTTTAGGGCTTTTGGGTCGCCTCAAAGTTCAAGCTTCTTAGAAGCAACAAAGACTTTCTAAAGATCTCCACCCTTTCACCCCTCCCCTTACTTCACTTTTCTCTGGCTACAGGCATTCGACCCCCTTTCTTTCGAAGGCTTAGGGATGAGTTTAAATCATTGTGTTCCCATTTCTTGATAACTGCCTGCTTTGAGCTTTTGTTCTCTTAAAGTAGAATTGCACACTGAAAGAGGGGCTGAAGATGAACAGTTTGACCCTTCAGGACAGTTCAGGCAGTGGACAGGAGCGGCCCTCGGTCACCATCCTCACTGATGCTATTCACGCGCTCCCCTCCCCCTTCGCATAATATTTCAGCCTCGTTTCATCTGGACAATCTTTTAGACCACACAAGTGCCTCTCGAATTTATTTAAGTTAAAAGAGTGCTAAAAGAGTCCAGCTAAGGATATTTGGCGTTGGTCACGTCTTCGCAAATCTGAGTACAAATCGAAATTTCTTTCTTTCAGCAAAACCGAGCAAAATGCTGAACAAATAGAATTCTGCAACTGAGTGTGAATGGTTGGCTTCTGAATTTCACTACCGTTGTTAGACTGTTCTTGGGGTTGTTTCTTTTCTTTTCTTTTTAAAAATAATATTCTTCATGGTGGGAAATATTTCTAGCAGTGTTCTACTACTGAGTGATGCTTCTCTCAAAAGCTGTAATACAAACATACAACCAAAATTCTTAGAATTCCAAGATGATCTAAAGGGTGATTTTTAAAAACTCTTGTTCTTTGCACAGTAATCTAACATACACCACTGCATACACCCAAAGAAGCCCTTATTTCAAAGATAAAATTCTGTAATGCCCATGATATCTTTATATTTACATAGATTAGAGGTTGACTGATGTCAATGTTTGAACATGTACACAACCTTAAGTTTCTTGGCACAATTTTTCCTTTTAAAGAAAATTTCTGGGATCAGAAATGTGAAATTTACCCTAATAATATTTTACCTTTACTAAATATCTGCAGAGGTCCCACCTAAATATGCATTATTCACTTCTTATAGACAGTATAGAAAGTTTGGATTTTGACAAGAGAAAGCATGTACCCTTTCGGTGCATCATAAAAACATAAAATCCTGGGAGGACATAACAACTGGGGAGAGAGACACCCAAATGCTGTTAACAATCAACTAACGAAATCCATTGTGTGTTTCACTAGCACTAAGCATTAGACCCAGCTTGATCTCTGTGTCTGTTTAGAGTTATACAAGACTGATCAGGCTTTCCTTTAAAAGCCTCTTCTTAACTGGTTTCTGCTTCTGTTCTTCCCCCCCAATATATTTTATCATCAGATGAACCCAGCACTTCTAGCCAAACTGAAATTTTAAAACAACTGTCCAAAGAGGTACCGTTCTATTGATACTAAAATAAACCCTTCTTTGCTTTCTATTAGCCTATTGGCTTGTCTGTCTTTGTAGGCAACTCCTGCGTGAGATGTAGCTATCTACAGACTGACACTCCAGGTTCCTCCCATCATTCCAGTATTTATTTCTGGCAGTCTTTGATCATTCCCTCAGAACCCAGCTTTCTCATCCCCTGTTCCATTCAAATTAACCCCCAAATCCTGCATCCACTGCAGTGTTCCTGTGTTCCTTCAATCTCGACCTGTTAGCCAAGACTTGAAGGCTTTCTTTTAGGGGGACTGTGAAGAGCATTTACTTGTTTGTTTGGTATCAGTGATCATCGCCTGGAAAATAATGCTTACATGCAACCATGGTAAGCACTTCAGATAACTTTTACTATGGATAGATCTTCTGCTTGATCCAACTCTTTCATGAAGTTCTGATTCTGCAGGTTCATGATATAGAACCAGAGACCCAAAGAAGTGTGAGAGAGGCAGATGCTGTATGTTGGAGACTGAAAGTGTCTCTCCCTTCTTTATAAATTTTTGCACTTCTCACAAATGAAATCAAGCTTCTCGGAAAAGATGGAGGAGGTAACCTGGGGAAATAATGCTTTTAAATTTAGGGAACTTGTTTTTAAAAAGGGAGGAGAGGCAAAACACAAATATCAGCGAGCAAAGTGAAAATCGTGGCAGTCTTAAAATCATTCCGAGGCAGAAGGAAATCTGGTTTGGAGAGCTGAAGTGGGCAAAAGTCTCTTTCGTGGGATTCTAGTTTCCATTTTCTTTCCTTTGTGCCTTCCAATCCTGCCTACTCCCTGCAGAAAATAGGAAATTAAAACCATGCCAAAACACTAACAACTACTTTCATCATGCCCTTCTCTGAAATAAACTTTTCCCCCAATTCCTACAAACTGAATGAGACAGAGACCTGCAGACAATTAATTAATCTTTTTCTCTTGCCACTTTTCAACTCCCAACATTGCCAAATGCGCCTTGCTTAAACTTAGTTTGCCGAAGGGATCTTAAGGGAGACTCTCATATCTACCGGAGTCCAGATCCACCGCCACTACTCATGCATAGTCTAATGCTCGGCCCAGCACACACTTCTGGGGGCTCTGCTTCTGTCTCTAAGAAAAGTCAGCCACGTCGACAACAGGGTGGGCATGAGCGTGAGGAGGAGGCGGAGGAGAGGGAGGGCTGACGAGCAATGCAGAACAAGCTTCCCCCAAAGTCCAGTCACCCTCAGCTCTATTTTCCCGTTGAAAAGCCGGGAGTATGGGGAGGACGGGCCCCTTGTCCCTACAACGCCCCCCAGCGCGGAGCGGAGGTCACGGAAATGTCAGCGTAGCCCAGGCGCCCGCGGGAGCGGCCCGTCGGCTGCTCCTCCCACTCCGCTCGCTGCCACCGTCGCAGGAAGCCACCTGGTTGTCTGGCCCCGCGGTAAACTGGGGTTAACCCGAAAAACAAAAGAAAACCTGTGTCAGCTCCCAGAGACTCAGTTTGTCACAGGTAAAATGAGGAGAGCCCTTTTAGCTCTAACACGTGAGTGCTTTTATTCTCACGTCCGCAGAAAGCCCATCAACCACTCTACCCTCGATCTCTCTCCTTCGAGGAGACGCCTCGACGAACCCAACGTCCTCTTCCTTCACCCTCGCACGCCAGTCTCTCTGCAACCTAAACACGCTTGCCCACCAAGTGCCCACAACGCACCACCCCTACCACATATTCCTCCCTTAACCAAATGACTGCGTTTTTAAAATCATTTACTATTTGATGCAGCTCCTAAGAGGCTTTGCCAAGAGACGCCCGGCAGCACCAGAGCGTAGCTGCTTTCCCCGGCATTCTGACCCCCCCATTAACTAATTCCTCGGATCCCGACGTCCCGGAGCTGAGAGGCCGGGCAGCGGCGGGTACTGTGCGGGCGCGCGCGCCGGGCCTGGGGGAGGGGGGTGCGGCCGCAAGGACGGGGGCGGGGGCGGTAGCCTCGGTCTCCCCAAAGGCCCCCGGCGCCCCGGCCCCTAATGAGCGGCTGAAAGGGAGCGGGCTCCGGTGCGCGTGGCTCGCAGGCCTCCCGGAGTCCGGGGCGCCCTGATTGGCCAGCTGCGCCTCGCGACCTCCATTCATTAATAAATTAGCGGCACGCTCCAGCCGAGCGCGAGCCACCAATCACAATGGGCAGCGGCGGCGACAACAGCCGCAGCTTGAGCTGAAGCCGCCACCGCGGCTTCAGCCGCTCCGACCGCAGCCTCGAGCTCCGACAGGAGCTTTAGAACCATTTTATGCTGATTAGATAAAGGGGGAAAAGAGGCGGGGGCGATGGGAGGAGGAGGATGGATGGCAGGGCCGGGGAGGGGGGGAAGTGGGTGAAGAAAGAGAAAGAAATGAATGATGATAATGCAATGAAAAGAATAAGCCGGGGGGAGGGAAAAGCGGGGGAGAAGGGGGGTCGGCACAGGGGGAGGAGAAGGCGGCGGCCGGGGGTGGGGGGGAGGTGGGGGCCCCGGGGGCAGATCTGATTGTTTTCTTGGTGGTATATAAGGGGTTTTAAGGAGAGTCGTGTGCCAGACACGCAGCCACTGAACCACAAGCAGCTTCGCTTTAACTGGAGTGCCCGGGAGTCGCGTGCCAGGAGCCGCACGGCCGAGGACTGACTGACAGACAGACACGCACCACCACCACAACACACGAGACCCGGGCGGATCGCCGCGGCCGCCGGGGCTCTTGGCAAACTCGCCCGTCGGACTGGTCCCCCGCGGAGCCGCGCCAGGGCCGCTGTTTTCAAGCGACGAGAAGGACGCAGCGCTGCGCTCCCGGCAGCGCGGAGAATCGCAGCACACGCCCAAGTAATAGCGACGCCGAAACGCATTTAGGGAGCGAACGACGTAAGTATCCGCCCTGTGGCTTCTAACTTGCAAGGGTGTTTTCGGCGCCCCGTTCCACCACGTCCGAACGCCCTTTGCTCGCGTAGAATCTTCGTCCCGGGGGCCGCAGCCCCTCTCCGCGCGGTACACAGCCTTGAGGTCGGCCCGCCGAGGGCGGGGCCCGGTTGGCTGGCTGGCGGCGGGGTCACAACCAGGGGCTCTCCTGAGCTTGGAGAGCACTGGCGGGGTTTCCTCCCTAACTACGTTCTTCCTTGGCGCGGTTCCGAACCAGTCCTGGCGGGTGCGCGCAGGAGTACTTCCCGCGGACACCGAGAACGTGCCTCGGCCTGTATATTTACATCTCGTTTGGTTCTTTCTCCCTCCCCGCTCTCTTCCGTAGGATGTTTGTCAAATCCGAGACGTTGGAGTTGAAGGAGGAAGAGGACGTGCTGGTGCTGCTCGGCTCGGCCTCCCCCGCCTCGGCTGCCCTCACCCCGCTGTCGTCCAGCGCGGACGAGGAGGAAGAGGAGGAGCTGGGCGCGGCGGGCGGGGCGCGCGGGCCGCATGGGGCCGAGGCGCGGCCCGGGGCGCTGGGCGGCTCGCCCGCGGGAGCCGAGGGCTGCCGGCCCGCGCGGCTGCTAGGTCTGGTGCACGAGTGCAGCAAGCGGCGCCCCTCCAGGGCGCGGGCCGTTTCCCGCGGAACCAAGACGGCCGAGACGGTGCAGCGCATCAAGAAGACCCGTAGACTGAAGGCCAACAACCGTGAGCGCAACCGCATGCACAACCTCAATGCGGCACTGGACGCGCTGCGCGAGGTACTCCCCACGTTCCCCGAGGACGCCAAGCTCACCAAGATCGAGACCCTGCGCTTCGCCCACAATTATATCTGGGCGCTCACCGAGACCCTGCGCCTGGCGGACCACTGCGGGGGTAGCGGCGGAGGCCTGTCGGGGGCGCTCTTTTCCGAGACCGTGTTGCTGAGCCCGGGAGGCGCTAGCGCCTCCCTGAGCAGCAGCGGAGACAGCCCATCGCCTGCCTCCACCTGGAGCTGCACCAACAGCCCAGCGCCATCCTCCTCGGCGTCCTCCAACTCCACGTCCCCCTACAGCTGCACTTTATCTCCTGCCAGCCCGGCGGGGTCTGACATGGACTATTGGCAGCCCCCACCTCCCGACAAGCACCGCTACGCACCTCACCTCCCCATAGTCAGGGACTGTATCTAGAACTGCCATCCTTGCTACCCGCGCCAGGCCTTAGTGGGTTCCCGTTTCTGTCCCTGACCAAGCCCTCCTCCCACCCCTCTCCTGTCCCCACTTCTATGCCCTGGAAACCATCTCACTTCACGGGGCAGATGTAGCCGTTCTGAATCCTGGGTTGTTTGCTGCATTCCCTGGCTAAGTGTTTGCTTCCTTCAGACGGTCTCTAATTTATTGACGGTGTGATGGAGCTTATTGTCAAAGAAGATGGTAGAATTTTGGGGGCGTTTCTCAAGGCTAAAAAGATGCTGGGAAGCGATGAAGGTGGCCTGTCTAAAGAGTTTGCAGGGCGGACTGACGCTCCTCCCCCTCTCTGTAACACCAGGGGAACTCGGAGCGGTTCGTGTGAATCTCCCAGGGGGAATGCAACTGGTTCCTCTGATCTCTTCACCTTTGCTTCTACATAGAGATGTTAATGTCGAGTAGAAACAAATGTATCTTAGCATTTGAATGATTTTACCGGTAATAATATTATCCACAGATTTGCAATGGCTGGCATCTGTTTTATTCCCATTGCTGTCTGCAGGCTGTGGGAATTTCACCTGTCAAACCAAACTTTCCCTCTCTGATGTGCACTTTGTTCTGTTTCCCAGATTCGTCACAATGCCTATTGTCCCGTCCTTCTCTTTCCTTTTTCTTCTCCATTTTGCCATCTGTCTCTTATGATTTATAAGGGGAAAAAAGTTGTTTTGTTAGAGGGCCAGGTTAGAAGTCATTGTATAATTTGTAGGCTTTGTAATGATTGAATGCAAGCGTGGAAATTTAGGCTGAACTCTCTATCAAAAGGAAAAACGTGGAGGAAAAGGGAAAAATCAGGAGGGAGGATTGCTTCATGCATTATTTATCTCGACCTTTTAGGGGAGAAGGAACTCCCCCATTCTTTCAAGAGATTAAAAATAAATCAACAGACTGAAAACCTAAGCAGACACGGAGCATTATCAGGATCAGCCACACACGTGTTCCCTTCTATTTATTATAAAGAAATTTTTCATGGGAAAAGTATGTATTTTTTGTATATTTTACAGAGTTTATTCTAGTATGTATTTACATCTTGAACAAAAAATTGTTCTTCTGATTAAACTATAAATAAAATATATAATTTTCATAATTTTTGTGTTGTATTCTAATTTTTGCCTGCTTTTGTGGTTTTTAGAAGAATGTGTTGTGCCTTTCTGAAATTCTCCCTGTAGCAAATTTAGAGTACTTGTATTTTTCATCAGTGTTTGTGTGCAGAATTTCGCTGACACATAAGGTCTAAGAGATCACAAGAAGCTGAATCATATTTGAGACATTAGCACTGACGTCAGAGTGTAACTGCATCCAAACAAAACTTGATTTTTAAGAAATCAATTTCTGAAGGAACAAGATCAGTAAAAAGGGGGGGAGGGTTAAAAGATAATTAAATCATGATAAGTTCCAAAGTTCAGAAACCTTGATGTAAAAAAAAAAAAAAAAAATAGTGGAGTTGAAGTTTCTTGTGAGAGTGTGTAGAAAAGTGGTTCTTGCACTTTGAGTTTCAGTTATCACCTGTAAACTGTAGGGACTGGACAGTGATTTCCAAGGTCCCTTCCAGCTCTTACATCTGTGATATATTTATAGTTCATTATTGGAAGCTGATTTTGTATTAGCCATTTTAACAAACTTGTTGGTTTTAAAAGTTAATTCCTGGAGAAAAAATATTCAGAGTGAGCTGGGATAAATCTGTCTCTGAGGGAAATAGGTAAGCTTTCCATTTTTGTTAAAATAATTACATAGTCAAAACTTACTCAAAGAGAAAGCAAAAATGGTTTCCTAATCTCCCCAACACATAACTCTATAATTTGCACTTCAATTTCCAAAGCAGAAGTGAATAGCATCATGGGTCAAAGATAACCAAGTGAAGGTTGACCACATTCTAGGTTTAAGCCCCTTCCTTGGTGGAGGGTGGCCACTGGACAACACAAGCTAAAAAAAAAAAAAATCACCTTAGCAAAGAAATGTTGGTTGTTCATGCTCCCCTCCCTCCCCAATGAACTTCATATCTGCTTCTGGTTTGGGCTAAATCTTCCACTCCTCTGCATTAAGCAACAATAATTTCTCCTGCAATATCTATCTGAAACTACTCCTCCTCTCTACGCATATGGAAAATATTGTGTTTAGTATCTTAATAACCATTTTTTTTTTAATCAAAGGAAGAACCAAGCCAGGGGTTTGCTTTGTTTTGTTTTCATAGCTGGACAGAAAAGAGACCTGTTGGAAAACCCTTCTAATTGAAAGATTGTGCTATTCCTAGCCACTCTTGATTATCTGATATGAGGAGACAGTGCTGTATCTTTAATATTCACAGTTATGTTTCTAGTGTTTAAAAAAGCTAAGCCCGCGAGTAAAACAGTTTTGGTAGGGTAGTTTTAAAACGTCACAGTTTTAATGCCAAATCATTGTTCTAGAGATGATGTTTATAGATATATGGTGCTTCTTTTGGAAATTTGCCAAAGAAACATTTCATGGCATAGGTCTGTGGAGACAAACTCTCAGGGCAGTTAGTCTCCCAAGACTATGGGAAACCTCCTCAATTGGTGGGGCGATCCCATAGACAGGTGATTCTAATTGTTTAGTTGGAGAGGATGGATGCCGAGATGGTCCAATAACCACAGCTTTGAGTAAGGGCAATACCGCGAACGAGCAGCCGCCCCTACACAGGACCCGCGGCGCCTTTAGCTGGAGCTTGTAGGTCCCCATACACGTCAGCAGCATGTCATCCATGGCTGGAATTCCGTCTACCATTTGTAATCTATACTCAGGCTATCCCTTCCTCATCTAGAGTAGACCTTATTTTACACAAATTGGTGCAATTATTTTTATGGTGTCCAATCTCTTTCCGCGGTTAAGGATGATGATCTTTCTGCCTCAGTTCGCGTTGGGAAGTCGCGCAGCAACTTCCATAGCCTGTCCTTTACCCCCCTCTGTAGGAATGAGAATTACAGAGTTGAGGCCGCTGCTTCTGCAGTAGGGAATATAGTCGCTCCTCCCTTTGGCCCATTTCCTCCCCACGTTACGACCACAACGGGATGAGCTGGGTCTGTCTGCATCGAGCGGGCTGGTGGGCGGCTGAGCAGCCACTCTTTCTCTGGCAGCTCCCGGTTGGCAAACGTTTCAAACAAGACCAAAGAGATGTTCTTCCAATGCCAGTCCCACACCGCCAGAGTTGCTAGATCTTTCCAGCGCCAACGGGTGCGCTGCGCGTGTTTACCTAAGGGCAGAGAGGTGCGAAGGTCGCTCCTGTCCTCTTTGGAAACTTCGCTTCGACGCCGTCAGGGTTCCGGTACTGGTTGTATTTATTTGTTCTGAACTGCCCAGGCCTTGTTACCAGACTAATTTTTCCTTCACCACATTGTAAATAAATCCAGCTGAGGGCCAACAAGGAGGAAAAAAGCAGCAGAGGGACGGGCTGCCAACTGCTGGGCCCACCGCGGGATCCCGGCCCAGGCTCAGCCGAGGCGCGAGGCGAGAGCAGGGCTGAGGAGCCGGGAGTCCGGCGGCACCTGAGCAGGGGTCGGGTGGGCGCCCTCCCGGGCCAAGCCTTGCAGGCCGGGCAGAGGCGAGGGCACCGGAAGGCCTCGGGCGGCCTTGTCCCGGAGAGAGCGAGGGTCCAGTCGGTCCTTCCCTGAGTTTAGCCCGATTACTCATGAAGGACATCTGGGCCCAAGGCCCGCTGTAGCCGCGCACCCCCGCCAGTCCGGGGGGCAGGGGCTCCTGGCTGCGGCTAGCCCCCGCACCCGCCTCTCCCTCCGCCTGCAGTTCGCCGGGTGCACCCCCTGCATTGCACAGCCTCGGGCAGGTTGTGACTTCTGGGCACCGACACCTGGAACCCGTTAAAAGCGCCTCCTCCTCGTGCTTGGCCTCCCCTCCGCACACCCCCCCCCCCCCGGGCGCCCGCTCGGCTCTAGGGCTCCCAGGCGAGCTTTGAATGTATTAATTAAATAAAGCAGGCAGCCCTTGAATCGAACCGATGCAGGGCGCTCCCGGGAGCGTGAAAGTCCCGGCCTCCGAATCCGCAAAAGAAAATGTGTGAAAAGAGAATTAGTGAAATTAGGTTAGACCAATAAAACGTGAGGGCTCCAGCACCCCCCTTCCCGCTCCCCCAGCCTGGGGCTAGAAGGGCTATCTGGTCTGATCTATTGTTTCCCTCCCTGGCAGGGGGTTCATTGTGTGATAAATAATTCCCCTTCCATTTTATTCTTTTAAAAAAAGGGGGGTATTTGCATAATCACTGCTTTGATGTGGCCAGAAATCGGAGGCTTGGTCTCCCCAAGTCTACCGTTGGTAGCGAAGCAACAAAGCTCGATCCAGATCTTTCACTTCGCTACCAGTGTGTGGGGCAGATTGTCAGGAACGGCAGCGTTAAGCTCCTTTTTTTAAAAAGGATCCATTTTAATGATTAAACCTAAGGAATGTCAAAAAAAAAATGGGGGTTGAAAAACGAGGGTTCTCACCCGCCTCTGCTTCTCCCTGTCCTTTAGGGTTCATTGTTCTCGGCAGTTTTTTCCCAAAGCCTTTGGGTGTGTGTGTGTTGGGGGGGGGGATGCGCCTTGCTTGGGGCAGCCCCACGTGGCACGCAGTGGGCACCCGCAAGGTCCGCCCGGGCGGGGAGGAGCGAGAACTGCAGGAGCGGTTCTTCTTGCACACCCCCCTCACCCCACCCCCACGGTTTTCTTTTCCCAGTTTGGTTTATCCAGCCTGGATGAGCTCCTCTTACGGAGGGCGCTGAAGTGAGTTTGCTCTTTAGTCCCCGAATCGAATCCGGGGGGTCTCCTGGGAACGCAACTTGGGGGCAGTTTCAGGCGGTCCCCGACGGGAGAGAGGAGCAAAGAAATTCAGTCATCCGGAAAGCAGAACGGGAAAGCCAGTGTGGCCGAAGCTATTATTTTCCTGCGAGGTGGCGTGAGTTGGGAGGATGGAGTGGGAAAGGACCCTGATGGTGTGTGCAC